CCATAGTTCTTACCATTTGGAGCTCGGAGGTTGGGCGGAGCAAGGGCTGAGATACAACACCCAAGCCTTTGCCCTTTGGCTGGAGTCTTTCCAGTAAGCCTGATAGGAGAAGAGAGTCCTGAATAAAGCACAATACCCCAGAGTAGCGGTCCTCAGATGCGACATCTTCCAGGCATCAATCAGCTGAGATGTGGCTGTGACCTCATCTGTCCCCTCCCAGGCCCTATTGTCCACACCCTCCTAGTTGATGTCAGCTTCTCAGTAGGGTAGCCATGGGAGCCTAGGGCCCCTTGGGTTGAGGAGAGAGAGAAAAGTTCTGTCCCTGCTTTATCTCCATTCAAATATCCCACCTCCAGCTTTATTAAGGTATAATTGACAAAATTATATATATTTATGGTATACAATGTGATGTTTTGATTAATCTGTGTATACATTAGGAAATGATTAAAGTAAGCCCATTCACATCCCCATCGCCTCACATAATTCTCATTTTTTGTGGTGAGAACATTTAAGATCTACTGTTTTAGTGTTTTTCAAGCATACAATACAGTATTATTAACTATAGTGGCTATTCTGTGCAATAGATCTCCAGAATTTGTTCATCCCAACTGAAACTTTGTACCTTTTGACTGTGTACCAGTCCCCCCATTCCCTATTAAAATTATTATGCACAGGTGGGCTTGGCCTTTTGATTGTAGAAGACAAGATCTAGCTTGTCTTTGTTGTCTGGGTTTGCCATGCATTGCCCAGGAAGTGCCCCCTTTTCCAAGTGAACAGAGGTGGTGAGGGTGGGAGGTGGGGTCATGCATCCTTTACTTTTTCATTGGTCACTCAGCCTCAGTTCTTAGAACAGGCTTACACACAGAATTTCCAAAGTCACTGGCTCACAAAATCACCCTTGTGCCCCTGGGTGAGAAATTTGTTTCCTCTGGCCTCCGCTGCTGGAAGAGAAATAAAGATAATGCAGGGAGGCATTCATGCCGGGAAACTTATTCTGTTCAAGAGCTAAGTTCTTTATTCTGAGCTTACTCCTTTTCTTTTTTTAACTTCAAATATCCTTTCTCTTATGGAACGATCGTGATTGTGGAAGGTACGTGTGTGTGTCATCTTTAATGTCCTTAGTTTGTTAAATAAAAACGCAACAGTTCTGTGTTGGTCCCCCAAATTAGGTGATCTTCACTATTCTTGAGTGGCTGAGCCCTTTGAGAGCTGTGCGCTCTGTTCCTGTGTATCCTGTGATGCTCACTAGCCTGCAGTTTTAGTTGTACGTGTGTGTGTGTGGTGGGGAGGGGCAAGGCAGAAGCACCGTGTGGAAAGCCTGACACCCACTCTTTGCAGAGGGTATTTGTCAACTAAGGAAGCACAGGCTTTGAGAGATAGAATCTTTGTGTTCTGAACTACCAAGATTTTTGGTATCAGTCTTTTTGCAGTAATATACTTCACGTTTCAATGATGTTTTGATGATCTTTAAGTATTCCAAGTATATGTGTGCTTTCTATAATAATAAACAAAAGCCAATACTTGCATACTGGTTGAAGTCTGCTGCTGCTGTCTAAAGTTTGCATGGACAGGCCGTTATCCAGTTGCCATCCAGCTGTCCACCAGGTGTGTTAGGGATGGGCTGTGAGCACCAAAGTGCGATGCCTGTAGTGGAACTGATAGAGTAATATCAACATTTTAAACTAATTAGATGAGGAAAAAGCATTTCAAAGAAGGCGTGATGGCTTCTTGCCCTCCAGCTGGAAGGTGGCACAGCATAATTGGAGTTAGAAAGCTTTTTGCCATCAGTGATTTAATTGAGTACACTTGAAGGAGACCCAGGAGTAATGCATTAACTATTTTGTTTTTGTCAAAAATAAGCCCAGGTGGAAGACAGGACTCCTCAGCCAGAACTTAAACCATCCTAGGAAGGAGAAATCAGGAAACCAGCCGTCTAGCGCTTACATTTTAGAGCACCTGCTTGTGTGTGCTTTCAGGATGCTGCGGGGCCAAGCTCAGCCGTGGCTCCTTGTCTTATAGAGCTTCTGTTTGGTAGATGGGAGACAAAGAAGAACTAAGTAGAACTCAAAGAGCAATTCCAGGTGGTGACAAGTGCTATGGAGAAAGTAAACGGAGGCAGTGAGTGCTGTTGGATGGCTGGGGGCAATGAGGGATGGCCTCCTGACTGAGGAAGGCCCATGGGAACTGAGATGTAGGAGCAGGCACAGCGTGCAGTGAGCAAGGGAGAGGGCTGGAGATGGGGCCTGGGAGGGAGGCAGGAGTATGTTTCTGGTGTGGTGGGGAAGCAGCCAGAGCATGTTCAGCAGAGCAATGACCTTATGGGGACAGGCAGGTCTCTGCCCCCGGGGACCTGGCTTGGAAGCCTCTGCCGCCTCCTCCTCCCTGCAGCCTCAGCCAATGGTGATGTCCCTTCCCCTGGATTCTGTCCGGGCTGTCCCATACCTTGCCCTGAGCTAGAGAGATGATGAACACTGTAGTCGGGTGGATGTGACCACCTGGAGATACCAAGTCCTAATCCCTGTAATTTGTAAAGGTTATCTTATTTAGAAAAAGTGTCTTTGCAGGTGTAATTAAGGATTGTGAGATGAGGAGATTACCCGGGTTATTCAGATGGGTCCTAAATGCTCTCACAAGTATCCTTGTAAAAGAGAGGCTCCTCTCCCTGTGTTCTTGCCACATATGTACTTAGGCAACAATCCTGCATGATCTGCACATGCACCCCAGAACCTAAAGTACAATAATAATAATAATAATAATAATAAACTTTCAAAAATGAAAAAAAAAAAAGAGAGCGGCAAAGGGAGATGCAGACACACAGAGAAGAAAGGGATGTGAAGACAGGCGGAGATCGGAGTGAAGAGACTTCAGCTGAGGAACAGCAAGGAATGCCAGCAGCCACTGGAAGCTGGAAGAGGCAAGGAATGGATGCTCCTTTGGAGGAAATGTGGCCTTGTTGACATGTTAATCTAAGATGCATGGCCTTCAGAACTGGGAGAGAGTAAGTTTCTGTTCTTTTATATCAAGTTTGTGGTTATTTGTTACAGCAGCCCCAGGAAATTAATATAGGCCAGAGAGAGAGAGAGAGAGAGAGAGTGAGAGAGAGAGGTGTGTTAGAAAAGGGTGTGTGTGTGTGTGTATGTGTGTGTGAGACAGAAAAAGAGTGAGAGAGAGCGCAATGTATTAGAAAGAGAGAGAGAAAAGTGTCTTATCCCCTCTCTTCTTTTGACTCCCAACCCCCCTGGAAAGCCCAAGGGTGATGGAGACCACCCTCCCACTTTGTGAGATTATTCCCTTCACATCTTGCCTCTTTGTGCTCCAGCCAAGCCTGGCTTACAGCGGGGGTCTCCCACTCTCACATTCCAGGGACGGGATTGGCCACCTCTTCTGGATGAGGGTGGTGGGCAGGTAGACTGTGTCTGCATCCCTCTCAGCTGATGCTGCCCTGTGGGATCTGGGGCCAGTGGGGTTACTTGTCTGCTTTTCCCAGACAAGCCTGAAAAAATATGATTTGTTTTAAAACATGACCTGTCTAGGTATTGAAAGCTGGCTTAAGTTTTTAAATCTGCAGGTCCAATTTGACCCTAGGGTGAGGTGAAGAGTTCTGTTTTGTAACTTCTGTCTTACAGTTTTTATTTCTTCTAGATGTTAGTATATTAACCCCCCACACACATTTGTGTGACTTGGAACGTGATTTTAGTCAGTGTGTTAGTTTCTTTTTCCTGCTGTAGCAAATATCACAAACTTAGTGGCCTAAAGCAACATAAATTTACTATTTAGTAGTTCTGCAGGTGACAAGTCCAAAACTGATTTTATATAAACACTAAAATCAAAATGTCAGAAGATCTCTGTTCCTTCAGGAAGCTCTAGGGAAAAATCTATTCCTTGCTTTTTCTAGCTTCTAGAGGCTGTCCTTGGCTTGTGGTTCTTCCAACAGTGGCATTACACCAACCTCTGCTTCTCTCTCCTTCACTGTCATCTCCCTCTCTCTTATGGGGACCTCATGACTGCATTAGCCCACCCAGATAACCCAGGATAATCTCCCCATCTAAAGATCCTTAATCCCATTTGCAGTGTCCTTTTTCATGTGATATTACTTATAATATTCACCAGTTCTGGGGATTAGGACATGGACATCTTTTGGGGTATATGGTGCCCTCCACAGTTAGAAACCCATATTTTCCTGTAGGTCGCACGCCCTGAACATGAAAACCTTGTATGTCAGCCCTGTCTCCCTCTTACCCACTTCAGTGGGTGCTGGAGCTGCCTCATACCAGCTCACAAAAGCTGATTGTGCTTTTCCCAATGTTGTGTTTGTGAAGTGACTTCATGTTGCTAGCTTGAAATTGGCCTGGCTGAAAGTATTTACACCTTGGAAGTCAGCAAATGCTATAGCTCAGGGCTCCCTATGCCTCCCCCAACTCTTTGACCTGGAGAGCTAGACGCCATTGACTTGCACCTATTCATTTGGACTGGGATTCCTGCCTTTTGGGATATCCGCTCTGTTTTTCTAGGGACTGCCATCTCATGTTCGGGGGGATGAATGTGGTTGTCTTAGGAGCATTCTGGATGCCTTGTTTTGCAGACCTTTATTGACATCTGCCTGAACTCTGCAGGTTTGGAGAGTGAACCATGTACCCCTTGGGTTTCCCTTCATTCAAAGGAAGCTGGGGGATTTTTGCTCATTTCTACTTCGCATTACAATCTCTTTTTTTCTCGTACAAGGGAAGCGTTACTTATGTACTGGCTTTCAGCAAATGACCTCCCTGCATAAGCATTTTGGGCTTATTTCCGGTGTCTTCCAATGTTAGGGGACCTTCAGCATCCCTCTCCGTGTTTTGACGTTGACAGATGTGTGTTGGTGCGTTCTTGTGGTGGTTTCAGTCCTGTTGAAAGCTTGGCGGTTGTGCCCACTTGTAATCTCCAGAGTCTGGTAGTATAGGGCATGTCTTGAAACATGCTGACAAGGTGGTGGCAATTAATTAACAATTCTTTTTTTTTACAGTCCAGAGGTCTTTTATTTTTTTTTTTAACACCTATTATGCCATGAATTCATAGGGAATAGGTTCCAGCAGCTCAGGCTCCTTCCCATTGGTCCTCACAAAGTGTGCTTCTCTCAGTGGAGCAGGCTGGCACTTCAGTTGGACCCAGGTACCTTTCTCTTTGGCTTCTTTCTTTTTCTGATCATTTTCCTTCACACGTTTTAGGAAGCTATCTCGACTCTTAGAGTGCTTGATGTGCTCAATACGCACATTAATTCTCTTGGCAAGAATCTTGCCCTTAACTTGTTTGTTTACAACAATGCCAACAATGCCAACAGCATGCTGGGTAACATTACAATGTTACAAAACTCTTCCAGTTTTGCCATGATAACATTTGTGGGGCATTCCTTTTGGAACAGTACCCATTCCCTTGATGTCCACAATATCACCTTTCTTATAGATTCGCATATATGTGGCCAAAGGAACAACTCCATGTTTTCTGAAAGGCCTAGAGAACCTGTATCGAGTGCCTCTCCTCTTTCCCTTTGTGTTTGTCATTTTGGCGAATTACTGGAAGATGGCTGTTCCGGCCGAAAGGAAGCAATAATTTTTCTTAATAAAAGAACACTCTCTCTCCTTACAAACCGAGATTCTTGTACACTAAATATTCAGTGAAAACCTCAGGCTTGCTTTTGCACTTGGCATCTTATTGTGCCACCTGTGCCTTTTGAATGTCTAGAATTGTTTGCTCTTCTCTTTTTTAAAGGAATTTCAAGAAAAGTTTTGATTGAGAACTTCCATACGGAGGACTATTTAAAATATGAAAAAGTCGCATTTTTTTCTTTTATGTCAGTAATTGGTGAATTGTTTCTTTGTGGGTGCTAAGAATGTGTATTCCAACTTTGTTTCAGTCAGCCTGCTCTGTTAGAACCAGTGTTTTTCTCGCATGGATTGCAAGCGTGTTTGAGACATAATTAATTGCTCTTATCAGTTAGGTTTTCAGTAAAGTCTCATTAATTAAGTGTGTGATTATTGTCTAACATTCCCTATATAGAAAAAGTTTGTTAAAATACATTTTTAAAAAAATGGAAATTGACCAATATATAGCTGAATTTACAAATCTCAGATACTAATGTAGCACTGAAAGAATGACAGATGATCAGCTTAGAAAATGAAGCCACTCTCGAGTGTGGTAACTGGGTACAAAAGGGCTCTCTAGTTGGAGGAGTAGCAGGGCTCAGGCATGTAGACTTCTGCCTTAGAGCTATTCCCACCATCCCGGCAGCCCCTTCCAGGCTGGGCAGCCTGGAGCCTCAGGAATCCCACACATGCTGTTTCCTCTGCATGAGGCCCATCCTCTGGCCACAGGTCTCAGCCCCCATCATCTGTGTCCCAGGAAAACTTCCCTGGCCACCAAACCACTTGTCTCCTCCTGTAGCTCTGGTTACAACCATGACTCATTTGGGCTGTCACCGTTTCCCTGTCTTCTCTCCAGAGCTGGGGCTGAGGGTGTCCTGCTCAGCTGTGCTGTTGAGCCCAGCACACTGCTTGGCCCAGAGTAGGTTCTTAGGGATCATTTATAGAGTACATGACTGAATGGCTTCCTAACTTTCTTGCTGCTGACCCTCAGCTCATCTAAGATGTTGAGGCATTATGATGAGCTTGCCTACGAGGCCTTGGGTAGGAATGGAGGGAGTGAGAGAGTGGGTGGCTGGCTGGAGGTGAGGAAGAATTTGCTACACAGCCAAAGACATTCATCCTGTCTCCTCCATGCCAGGCACAGGCAAAGTGCTTTGAGTGCATTTCCTCATTTCATTTTCACAACCACCCCAAGAGGTAACCTTTAATTTATGCTATAGATGTTAGCACCTACCCGTGGCAGGCATTTTGTTGAATGCTGGAGATACAGTAATTAAAATCCATGAATCCTTGACCTCATGCAGCACATGCTCTAAAACGTTCAAATGTTAGAGGTGAGAGGGCAGGATTGTGGGAATGGTACCACCATGTCTAAAAATTCTAATTATTTAGTTTCCATTTCAGATTATCAGCATATTTTATGATTGTACTTTATTCTACTTTAGATAGTTAAAGTTGGTTAACTCAACCTCTTTCACAGTTATTTTCACTAGGTACTGTCATAATTTTGAATTTCTAATTTGGTAGCTTGCCTTTAACAAGAAGCATTTGTTGTTGTTCCAAATGTGAATATTACATCTCTAAGAGAGTTAATCCAAATTGAAATCTGCTGAAATACATTGATTATTAAGTTAACATATTATAGACCAGGTCATTATTTTGGGGAAGTTTTACTAGTGAGATTTTTGTAATTTTTAAATTCCCATGCCAATACTCAAATTCATAGATGCTAAAGCCTCTCATACAAATTGGTGTTGTATTTGCATATAACCTATGTACATTGTCCCATGTTCTTTTAAGTAATTTCTAGATTACTTATAATAACTAATGGAATGTAAACAGTATGCAAATAGTTGATACACTATATTTTTTAGCTTGTTTTTAAAATTATTGTACTGTTACTTTTTTTTTCTGAAAAAAAATTTTTTTTTTTGAGATGAGGCATTCTTCTATCATCTAGCCTGGAGTGCAGTGGTGTAATCATAGCTCACTGCAGCCCTGAACTCCTGGGCTCAAGTGATCCTCCTGCTTCAGCCTCCTGAAGTGTTGGGATTACAGGCGTGAACCACTGCACCTGGCCCTGAATGTTTTTGATCATTAGTTGGTTGAACTCATGGATGCAGGACTTGCAGATGCAGAGAGCAGACTGTATTATGCTTATTTATTATGTAGTTAAAAATTTGTATTCATGAGAGTTTTGCAAAGAAACCGAACCAATTTAAGGAATGGGCTTATGCAGTTATGGAGGCTGACAAGTTCCAAGATCTGCAGTAAGCAATTGGGGATTCAGGATAGCTGATAGTGTAGTTCCAGTCTGAGTCTGCAGGCCCCAGAACCAGGAGAGCTGCTGATATATTTCTTTCTGAATACTAGAAGACTTGAGACTCAGGAAGAGTTGATGTTTCAGTTCAAGTGTGAAGGCAGGAATAAACCAATGTCCCAGCTCAAGGCAGTCAGGCAGGAGCAGTTTTCTCTTATTTAGCCTTTTTGTTTTGTTGAGGCCTTCAACTGGCTGGATGAAGCCTACGCACATGAGGGAGGGCAATCTTCTTTACTAAGTCTACTGAGTCAAATGTTAATTTCATGTAGAAACCCTCACAGACACACTGATAATAGCGTGTGACCAAATATCTGGGTACCCTGTGTCCCAGTGATAAAACTAACCATCACAAAATTGTTTCCAATCCCACTGCAATGTCTTCATTGACCATAGGGTCATTTATAACACTCAGTTTTTAAACATTTGGGGAATTTTCTATTTTGTAAATTATTGATGGCTACCTTAATTTCATTGTGATCAAAATTTACTTTGAATGATTTCAATCCTTTGAATTTTGTGAAATTATGGTATAAATAAATAGCTTAGTGACAACAACTTTTCTGACTCTCTATATTTATGTTTTTTATTTTAAGCAGTACATAGTTAAGTTTTGATTTTTAAAAAATCTATAATAACTTTAACTTTTAAATTAGAGAGTTTAATATATTTATATTAATGGAGCTTCTGATGTGTTTGAGTTTAAATGTCATATTATTGTTTTTCATTTGTCCCATATGCTCTATGTTACTTTTTCCTCTTCATTCTTGCTTTGTTTTGGATTAATTAAGTGTTACATTATTCAGATTTGTTTACCTTCACTACTTTGTTAATTAAATCTTCTTATTTTATTCTTTTGATGCTTACCCTAGATATTACAAAATGCATATTTAACTAGTTTAAGGTACTTTTACCACCGTATTCATATATTGTTCAACAATGGGAATATGTTCTGAGAAATGTGTTGTTAGGTGATTTTGTCATTGTGCAAACATTATAGAGTGCACTAAACCTAGACGCTAGAGCCTGCTGCACAACAGGCTATAGCCTATTGCTCCTAGGCTGCAAACCTGTATAGCAGGTTACTGTATTCAATATTATAGGCAATTGTAACACAATGATAAGTATTTGACTATCTAAACATGTCTAAATATAGAAAAGGTACTACTATAAAAATACGGCATAAAGGACAAAAGATCGTATCCCTGTACAGGAAAATTGCCATAAATGGAGCTTGCAGGACTGGAATGAGCCAGTGGGGTGAGTAGTGAGTGAATGTGAATGCCTTGGACATTATTGCATACTACTGTAGACTTTGTAAATACTGTACACCCTATAAAAATTATTTTTCTGCCTTTAGTAATAAATTAACCTTAGCTTACTGTAACTTTCTTACTTCTTAAAAGCTTAAATTTTTAAAGCTTTTTGACTCTGGTAATAACAGCTTAAAACACAAACCTATTGTACAGCTGTAAAAAATATTTTCCTTTTTATATCCTTACTCTATATGCTTTTTTCTATTAATTTTTTATTTACTTAAAACATTTTTTGGTTAAAAACTAAGACACACACACATTAGCCTAAGCCAACATGGGGTCAGGATCATCAAGATCACTGACTTTCACCTCTACACCTTGTCCCATTGGAAGGTCTTCACGGGCAGTAGCACCTGTAGAGCTGTCATCTCCTATTGTGACAATGCCTTCTGGATACCTCCGGAAGGATGTGCCTGAAGATATTTTCCAGTTAACTTTTTTTTTTTAACTAAGTAGAAGGAGTACCCTCAAAAATAACATTAAAATTATAGTATAGTAAATACATAAACCACTAACATCATTATTTATTTCCATTATCAAGTATTATGTACTGTATATAACTGTATGTGCTATATTTCTGTGTGATTGGCAGTGCAATAGGTTTGTTTACACCAGCTTCACCACAGACAGGTGAGTAATACATTGAACTACAATGTTACAACAGCTAGGAGGTCACTAGGTGATAGGAATTTTCCAGCTCCATTATAATCTTATGAGACCACCGTTGTATATGCAGTCTCTTGTTGACTCAAACGTCATGCAGGGCATGACTGCATATGAATATTTCAAGAACCTTGGCACACTTTCAGTTCTTTGGACTCTCTCTTGTCTTTTGTGTTGTCATGTGTGTTGGGTCTAACTTGTTTAAAATTCCCATTAGATATTGAATTATAAGATATGATTATTCTTATTTCATACGAAGTGTGTTTAGAGTCACCTACACATTCACCTTTTTGGTTGCCCTTTATTCTTTCTCATGTTTCATATTTTCATAAGGGATAATTTTCTGCAAATTTCTGTGGTGATACTTATGTCAGTTTAAAAAAAAAATTCTACCCTGCATAGATCCCCAAGCTTCCTGAATTTGCGACTTCATATTTTTTATCACTTTTTGAAATTTCTTAACCGTTGCGTTTCTAAAAAGTGCTTCCTGCCTGTTCTCCTTCTCTTTTCCCCTTGTGGGACTCCATGAGGTTAGACCTTTTCACGATATCCTCTGTATCTGTTTTGCACTTTTCTATGTGTTTTCCATATGTTATTTTTATTGTGTGTTAATCTGAATATTTTCTGTTGACTTATCTTTTAGAG